ATCCTACTGCCATAGCTAAAGGCATTCCCACCCATCTTCATCATGCCTTCTCCACCAAGATTGGCTCAAACTCTGAGCCAAATAAATCCTTCCTCCCTTCTGCTGCTTCATGGTGAGTCTAGACACTGGAGGAGAAGCAGCTAACACATAGTACATAGTGGGCAGCACAGTAGACTGCAAATGGCTTTAATTTGGCTGGACAGAGCAGCCTCAGAAAGTCCATTAGCATCTTGAATCTTGGTTTGTTGTTGCTGTTGTTAAGTAAAGAAAATGGAATATACTAGGATTAGTTGTCTTTAGAATTTAAGATTATAATTTACAGGATGTATATTTAGGTATATATTTTCCTAGCAGCAACAGGTTACTATTTATTAACTTAGCATCTGTGAGAATCTTACAAATCCTGTAACAAATACAAACTGACTATATATAAGGTCTAGAGAGATGGCTCATCAGTTAAGAATACTAGCTGCTCTTTCAGGAAACCTGGGTTTGATTCCCAGCACCCATGTGGCAGTTACAAAAGTCCATAATTCAAGTTCTAGGGGATCTGACACCCTCTTCTGGCCTCCATTCACAACACTTGTGAAGTGTCCATTTGGTGTCTGTTACCTCTATGCACTGAGGAGCACTGGGCAAGTTCTGATTTTGTAGAACTTATCTTTTTTTTCCTTAATTCATTTATTTTGGAGATGATGGTCTCACTGTGTTGCCCAGACTGTTGAATTTTATTTTCCTATAAAACACTGAATCTGGCAATTCCTCAAGAAGACCACACTGCTATTGCCATTTCCTCTCTTTCTGCTGACCCTGCCATGCTCCCTCCCCTGCTAAAACCTAACGATGGGTTATTTTTTCTAACTAAATCCTGCATTGTACTTAAGAAACCAAACTCTGCTGTTCCCAACTAATAAGTAAATAGAATCCAGGATCTGATATTCTCACCTGTTTCTGCCTTCAAACAGCAGGGTAATTTGATTTTATTTAAAAATAATCCTACAATTACTTTCATTTCCAATGGGCCTTGCATTTCCCCAAGAAAGCCACAGTTGTTATTTCCATTAACATTACAATGATGCTATAACTTCTTTTAAAAAATGGAGAGTATATAAAATATCATGAGTCCAATATTGATGAAAAGTAATTTTAAGATCCAGATATCCTTGAAACCTTAAGTAAGATCTCCCTTCTTTGGCACTGTGTAAGGAAGTGGGAACCACCCTCTACAAAGCATGATAGCAGCAGTCTGGCATCTTGTGAGGTCTGAGCTGGTTCCTCTGGCACCAGTCATGTTGTATGGATATGTCAAGTGGAAGGAACCCAGGAGCATCTAAAGGGTGTGGAGAAATTCAAAGTCAGAGGTAACACACAGCATTGGTAATAGGAGTCCCAAGACAACAAAGGCACAGGGTCCCACAAGGGCCTAGTCTGCCAAATCACACATTGTACTGTGCTAAGAGTGCTCTGTGGTGGAAGAGACGTGCCGAAATAACCATCAGAGTCACCAATTTGCATGCATGGCTGAAAACAAATAGGGATGGTAAGATAAGCCTAATGGATGGAGATCCATAAGATGTCACGGACCTCCACACATGCTCCATCATACACACACACACACCACACACACCACACACCACATACACACACACACACACACACACACACACA